AATGTGCAATCCTGTAACCTGAACAATTCATAATGTCTCATTCACTGCAGTTCCTTCAGTGTGATAGATAGGCAAGGGCATAATTTTAACATGCGAACTCAGAGAAAGATGTCAGGAGTAATACAAGGTGCACTTGAGTCACAATTCAAACCTTAAAAGGGACTGTTAGTGTTTCTAATTGAGTGCTCAAGCATTTTTACAGTTGCTGTATAGAAGGATAATTTCCCACAAGATGGAAAAAGAAGTAATTTAGCTAAAGGCTTTATTGCAGCGAGGACTGTAAGCAGAGCCTTACATAAAAGCACACACAAAAAAATTTGCCAAGAACTGTATCAGCCGTAAAAGTTAGTCTGGCTGTAAGAGCTTGCAGGTACACTACAAACTGTATGCTGTATCAGCTTTACACATAGTAAATTAATTTCTTTAAATATGTGACAGATGTTGTTTATTTTCCTTTCATTTCCCTTCCTTCCTCTGCTTTTTTGTCCGCTACAGTCTAAAGTCAGGTTGTCTCAATTTTTTTCTTTTTATTTTTTTTTTTGGTCACTCCCAGTTAGCATCTGCTATTGCTCCCTTTGGGCGCATACATTTGCAGCCAGTTCTTCTTTGCAACCTTTTATGTCACACAGTCTTTCTGCTTTACGTTGATGGAAAGAAGTTACTATTTGAATTGCAGAAATACGTTCTGGAAAACAGTAACATGAAATTTCCATTTACTTAAAAGAAAAACTGTACCAGCTCCAAACAATTATCCATCAATAATGTATTTTCAGCTAATCAAAGACCATTCTTCTAGATTTTTGATTATTTGCAGATACTGCATGTTGGTTTATATTGAGAATATTCATTACAGTAAAATGAAATAATACTACTACCTATTCTCCTTTTATAACAACTTGTCTCGGTGACTTGATTTCCCTGCCAGAGCTGCGCCCACAGCACTGCAGATAGCAATTAGCATCTCCCTCTGGGATTGTAACCCTACCTTCCCATCCTACTGCTCAAGTTCAGAGACCCTTATTATATCTTCATTTAAACTCATAGTATTTCTTCTCATCCTAGTACTTTCTCAACTTTATGTTCAAGTTTTTTTATACTTAAAACAATTGCCCACGTACTCCAGCTAGAGATTTACTCCCGCTCTGTACCTCAAGCTTATTTAAAAAGAGAATGTCTTTCAGAAAGTTCAGTCACAACCTTTGTGAAACTCACTGAAAAACATTTTGACATGCTGCTCACAGAAGTACATACCATTATGTTATAACAAAAAAAAATATTAAAAATGTGAATAGCAGTTTTGTGAATTTCCAATAGATGGCACTTTGGTGGTTTGGGTATAGGTTCAGAATTTATAATGGAAAGAGTACTGATTTTGGGGTTTTGTTTACTTTGAAAATATTTTATTATACTAATGCATTATACAAACATTATACATTCCAGAAGTAGTGCTTTACCAGTATTTGGAAGTAAATTGTGAAATTAAACTATAGTTAGGTTGGACTTGTGGGGAAAGGGAAGGGTTTACCACGTCTTAATGCTGCAAATACCAGCAGTGACAGAGGATTTCATAATTTCAGTGAATACATTCATCAGTAGTTAATGTTGGAGAGTTTCTTTTTTAACTCATGCAGGTTATACTTTTTTAAGATCAAAAGTATTTACATTTTTGAGGCTTTCTAAATATGCTGATTTTTTTATAATAACTTTTTTTTTGAGTTCCTGAAACAACTCCAAAACACCTAACAAATTCATTATAATCTGACACTTCGATGCCATGCTGGAATTATTCCAAACTTCACGCAACCTTGATACTGCAAATTCGTTAGCAAGCCTTTGGAGAATTTTGTTTCAGGGCAAGCGACTAGTCTCTCTAGTCTGGGTCAGAGAGTAGATGAATAGTGATGAGAGAAGGGAAACCTATTTCTGATGAAAGTCTGTCTAGGTCAGACTGGAAATGGCCCATGAAGAAACTTCTCAGCTTTAGCTGAAGCTTTTGAGAGTCCCACTGTAAGCTCACTGGCAGTGATGATGTGAGCACAAAAAGAGCTACCAGCCCGCTGGGAAGAGGCTCTCCTCTGCCTTTTCACGCTTTACAAAAGCTGTTCGGTTGAGGTCAGTTTGCTTAAACCATGTAACTTCTACAAATGATTACTTCATAAGCATGTAACTTCAAATGAAGTTCAGGTGTCACCAAGTTACAGTATTTGTTTTCCTGTCTTCCAGAATAAGAGTTTATGAGTGCTGGTGGACTTGCAAGTTCTGCACATTTGAGCTTGTGGCTTCTGAAGGTTATTTGTATATACTGAAGGTTATTTGGATTTCATGTCTAGGTAGAAATGATCACTTACCTAGTGTGCCGTTAATAAAGGTATATACATAGGTATAGGTATTATCTAGCGCTCAGGGACCCATGATTGTACAAAGTATGACAAGGCAATTTTAGAGTCTGTAATATATCAAATAATTACCTAATAAAAATAGCTTTAAATGAGACGCATAATAAAAATAACTTTTAATAGGCATATGTACTAGTTCTTAATAGGACCCATTTATAAAACCAAGATTATTTGCTTTACTGAACATGAATAATTAATTTGGAAATATATTTTTATTTTGTGACATTCTTAGCATCAATTAACATCAGTTTGTTAGTTTTTTAACACCAGTTTGTTAGAATAACTTTAAAATTTCCAAAGTGGAAGTCATCTTTTTTCAGACTGAACTTTAATCTTGAGCCAAAGGTGGGGGGGGGGGGGGGGGGCGGCCCACCC